TGCCCTGTCTTCTCCTTTGGCTTCTTCAAGTCCTAAGCCAAGTGGCTCTGCAGATCTGTGAAGCGTGCCAGCTTCCTCTGCAGGACACCCACAGTACTGAGGTCAAAGGGAGTAGAACACATGCAGATCCAATCTGTTTTCAAAGACTTTGGCCACCCATAAATTCTAGTTTGTCACATTCCATTCTTCTCTTGCTCTCATCCAAGACCAGCTCTCTACCCCGACTGTGATTCCAGTTGACCAATCGTGAACTTCAGGCTCAACAAAAGAATTGAACCAGCAGCCTTACACAGACCTGACAACCAGCTCCTCCCACATTTTGTACGATGTAAGGCAGCCCTGCCCAGCAAAATATCTGTGCTGATGGGAGCAGAGTACATGTGGACTGCCCGGTAGAGCAGCCACTGTCACCTATGGCTGCTGAGCACTTGAAATATACCAAGTGCAAGTGAGAAACGAAGCCTTTAATTTTAATTCATCTAAAAGTACATGTGGCTAATAGCTAGCAGCTATGTGGCTAGTAGCTGGTTTATTGTGTGATGCAGGCCTCTTCCTAATAATAAACTCTACATATTTGTCACCCATGGTGGCCCCGTTTCTCAGCTTGAATCCTGATGGTACATGAAGTGGCTGGCACTTTCATGGAAGTGAGCACAGAGACAGAAAGCCAGCATATGAAGAATGACAGGACTGGAGGACAGAAAGAGCCTCGGTTCTGGTAGCTAGCTCTACCAGCACAAAACCTAGAAACTTCTTCAGTGAAAAAATATAGAACTGTGAGCAATGGACTATCACTGCGCCCTTTCAATAAATCATCTATCTGTGCCTCGTTTTTAATGACTTCTGTTTTTTGCAATGAAGTGGTGTAATCCTTATCCGCAACAACAAGACACAGATGCTATTCTTAGAACTTGACTTGAAAAAAATGTACTTATACATGCATAGGAGCCATAAATTATCTTTTGGAAGAGGCAAATAGCATAAGTAGAACTACAAACAAGAATTAATTGGCTTTCTCTTCCCACGGTTCCCTTTGCCGTCATGTTTATCTTTGCTTTCTTTTGAAGAATGACCTACGGTAAGTAACTTGCCTTCCAATTTGACTTCCTTTCAGTTTATGGATATATAAATGAAAACTATGAATTTTAGATTTAGGTAGTGTATTAGGCAGACTTTTCCAAAGAAACAGAACCAATTGGATATGTATATATGCACAGTGCACACAAGTATACATATATAGTATACGTGTACATGGTATATATTTGTATGTGTCTTATGTATACAGCTACATGTCATTAAACAATGTTTCAGCCCACAATGGACTCCATAAGATGATGGTCCCACAAAGTTATATTTCCTAGTGACATCACAGCTGTCTTAGTTTATGTAAGTACTCTTATGTGTTTACCCTACCACAGCCTACCTATCAGTCCTTGCAGAGTTCACGTTAGTGTTGGTCCCATGGACCACACAGCATGAGCTCAGAAAGGCAGTGGCGAAGCAGCATCCATGACACTTATGCACATTAGCACACCACCACTGTCACTGACCTGCTGGCTCACCTTGCTGCATGCAGCGGCACCCAGGCTGGCAGCTCCTCCAGCCGCTGCCCTATCTTCTCCTTTGCCTTCTTCAGGTCCTAAGCCAAGTGGTGCCTCTGCAGATCTGTGAAGTGTGCAGCGTTCTCAGAACTCTCAGATATGTCCCTGACAGTAATATAGCACGTTACTGTAACCATGTCCGCTGGTAAAGTCAGTGACACAGTTTCAAGGGGTCTCGGAGCTGATGACCCAGTGGTGTAGATCTCCAGTCTCTGAAACACTAAGGATTGAAAAAGACCAATGTTCTAGTGCAAGCTGGGAATTCCCTTCCTTTACCATCCTAATTCTATTCAGACCCTGAAGAGGCTGTATGAAGCCCACCCATATTGAGGGGGGCCATCTGCTTTGCTCGGTCCACCTGCACTACCTTCCAGGAGCATCCTGGCAGATACACCAGAGATATTGCTGCACCAGCTACCTGGGCACTCCCTGGCCTAGTCAAGTTGACAATAAAATTAACCCTCATGATGGTGTTCCCCAATACAATGGCCTCACAAACAGGAACTAAAATGTTAGCAAAGCGTTATGATGAAACTCCAGAATGCAGGGCGTTCGTCTGTTTTCTGTCAAGTTCTAGGTTCTTTGTGAACTAAAATAGGATTGAGATGCTGACACTAAAATTAAAAATGAGAAGGAGCAGCTTTTCAAGTACAAGATAAGAAGAGATTTGGATTTACAGGAACAAATGTGACAGTCCAGCTGAGGAAGCTGGGATGACTAACCCTTGCAGGCAACGTGGAACACAGCTGAATCGCTAAACCAGAGGTATATAGACGTGGTTATGGGCATCGATATAATTTCTCTCTAAATGCCAGAGACATTTTCAAAAGGCATTTCAACGTTCAGCAGCCCCTCCTCTAGCCACACACCTACCCCACAGACTCCATCCCTTCACGTACCTGAGAACATGGAAATCCCTGCTCCAGTGTAGGCCACAGCTCACTTCGAGGACATCACACAGGCATCTTCCCCAGCTCTGCCCACCTGAGGGTCAACTGCATGCTTAGGGCACTTATCCCTGGGCCCAGTGGCTTTGGGGAAGGGATGGGTACAGAGCTGGGTCACCAGGGACTAACGTCCATGCACCTCTGTGAAGTCTTCTCATGGTGCTGGATCAAGTTGGAGGTGGAGATTAGGAAGAGAAAGGAGGAAGGGTGTGGGCATGAATCTCAAATTTCACCCTTGCTCTTGTAACCATTCAAGGCAAGGGCATGCCAGCCACCAACTACCCATCCAAAGAAAGCTGGAGACAAATATATAAGGAAGAGTCAACCCCCCTTTGTTATAAAGGAGATTTATGAAAATAGAAAAAGTATTAATATATCTGGAAAATAAGCACGGTGAAAATTTCATGACTCAAGCAATCGTTATTTAGTAGTAAAACCACAGTGCGGGAATTGTGTTGTAAAGCAGATTCATAGTCTTTTCCTATTGAGGAAGCAGTCCTGATTTCTATCAAGCTTTCCCATTGCTTGGGGTTAGATGGGGCAAGGCTGGGGTGGGGGAGTCATCAGCATTGATTGGCAAAGATCGGTGGTTACTGACCGGGCACTTACAGCTTGGAAGGAAACTGCAAGGGTGAAGGTTCCCTGCCCTGCAAAGCTTAGGGCTTGAAGAAGCGGTTGCTGATATATGGAAGAAGGCCTTCAGGTTGCTCAAGGGATCCAGTGCATTATGCTCGCCCTGTTTTACTGGAACCCCCTATGCACTCCAGTCCCCAGGCCTGAATCTAGATCTGCTAAAACATGCACGCAGAGGAAGCAGTACCCAGGTGTGACTGAGCAGACAGTAAGTACCAAGGTGCACTCTGCAGGTGGAAACCTTTCTCTTCCTTCAACACCATGGATTTTTTCCTCACTTCCTTGTTCAAATCCTTCTCTCGGGTCCAAAGGGTGCAGATTAAGAAATAGAAATGAGCTCAAGTAAATATGATCTGTCCCGTATGGTGGCTATCCATATTGTCTGTCAAACTAGGTTTTAAGTTTTGCTTTCCCTGTGAGCCCATTTCCACAACCCCATTATTATAATAGCTACAGGCAACTTTTAGTTTAGTTTTGTTTCTCCAGCTCCATCCTGAAACTGGCCCTTTATCATCCACCGCCCCAGTGAATCTTTCCCATGGGCCCTGCACCTGCAACGCTAACCAAACTTGAAAAGATTAAGGCCTAAATCACCCACCAGCAGTTGCGTGCGTGCGTGCGTGCGTGTGTGTGTTTACAAGACTAAGCTTGAGGAGAGAAAAATGAAGTACATCAGTGTTCAAACTGTGACCACAAACACAATTCTAGACAACTACATGAACATTTTTTTCCTTTTCCTTTTCCTTTTTTTAAGGTTGCTTCACAAGTGGTTGCTTCACCAAGGCGCAGGGCTGGTAACCGAATCCGAGTGGCCCAGGCCTGCGTGGTTTGGTTCCTTGGATGGCTTGTTCACTTCCTCCCAATTGTTGTCCCGCCCTCCTTGTATCATCTTGGGAATGTCACACACACACACACACACACACACACACACACACACACACAGCACAGTGGTCTCAACACAAGCTGTCCTTGGTGTGTGTTATTCCCTTATTATTCACATCTCTCCGGACTGGCTCCTCCAACCTCTCCGTGGTGTGG